ATAGGAAATTGGGTACCTTGCTCTTCTCGAACTAGTATCCCACTTACCGCTATCTCGGACACTGCAGGTATATATAAAGTTTTTTATCTACCTTCGGGGTGTGAAGCAAAGGCATGCTCAATAAATATCATTTTAATTCTTCTAAGGCCTGCTGACATTCTTGGGTCCATGTGAAGTCCTTTTTTTAGCAAGGAAAAGAACCGGTGACTCTGATCTGATAACCTCGAAATGAATCGACCCAAAGCAGCTATTCAACCTTGTAACCTTTGCACGGCCTTCACACTGTCCATAATCGTGATATCCTCGATGGCTTTGATCTTATTGGGGTTAATTTCAATGCCCCGATTCGACACCATGAAGCCGAGGAACTTACCCGAGCCGACTCTGAAGGCACATTTCTCTGGGTTAAGCTTCATGTTGTATTTTCTCAAGATTTTGAATATTTCCCGCAAATGATTCGAATGGTCCTCTGCGCGCAGGGACTTAACCAACATATCATCAATGTAAACTTCCATTTTTTTACTTATTTATTCTTCAAACATTTTGTTAACTAGGTGTTAGTATGTAGCTCCTGCAATTTTTAGCTCGAAGGGCATTACATTGTAACAATAAATCCCAAATTTAGTAATAAACGAAGTCATTTCTTGGTCTACTAGGTTCATCTGAATCTGATTGTACCCGGAGTAGGCGTCGAGAAATGTTAGGATCTCGTGGCCGGCCATGGCATCGATCATACGATCGATGTTGGGCAGTGGGAAAGAATCTTTTGGACATGATTTGTTCAAGTCCTTATAGTCTACACACATTCTAAGTTTGTTTCCTTTTTAGGAACTACAACTACATTGGCTAACCACTCGGGGTACTTTACCTCCCGTATAGATCCTGTTTTAAGAAGTCTGGTTACCTCGTCCTTTATGAAAGCATGTTTTACCTCGCGGAGGCCACCTTTTTTGCGTCACCGGTTTGAACCTGGGATCGGTGCTTAGCCGATGCGTGGTGATTTTCGGTGGAATAACTATCATATCTAAATAGGACCAAGCATAGCAATCCATAATAAGAAATTTAATGAATTTTTTCTTAAGTTCGGGGGTCAATCCTATTCCTAGGTATACCTTTTTCTTGGGCATGTATTCGATCAAAATGACCTGCTCCAGCTCCTCGATAGTTGATTTGGTTGCATCGGACTCTTCGGGAACGACGAAGGTTCAAAGAGTAAGGAAATGCTTATCTTCGTCTTCGATTACTTGTTGCTCTGATTCCATCGAGGCTGGAGGCGGTGATTGCTATTTGACCGCCTGTTTTCCCCCGATGCTCGATTCCCCCGAGGTAGAAGGCTTTGGTATCGGTATCGGCACCACTTCCTCAATCGCAAACATCTCCTTTGCAGCATGTTGCTCTCCGTGGATTGTTTTCACTCCTTCCTCTGTTAGTAACTTTATCATCTAATGAAGAGTTAAAGGCACTGCCCTTATGTTGTGTATCCATGGTCTCTCGAGGAGCGCGTTGTACCTCATGTCACCTTCGATGACATGGAACTTTGTATCTTGTATGGTCCCGGCTATGTTTACTGGCAGGATAATCTCTCCCTTTGTTGTTTGGCTTGCCATGTTGAAGCCATTTAGGACCCGGGATGCAGGTACAATCTGATCTTGCAGGCCGAGTTGTTCCACGACCCTCAATTTGATTATGTTTGTAGAGCTACCTGGATCCACTAAAACACATTTAACTCGAATTTTATTTAAAAGTATAGATATTACCAGTGCGTTGTTATGAGTCTGAGATGTGTCTTCTGCTTTCTTGTCACATAATGATAAGACCTCGGGCATATAGCTCCGAGTCTGTTTTTCTCTGGTGATTGATACTTTGGTGCGTTTTAATGCAGGTCATTGAGGGACATCGACTCTGCAATGATCATGTGGATTACATGTTATGGTTCTTCTTGTTCATTTTTTCTTGCATCTCTCTCCCTAAAGTGATTCTTAGCCCGATCACTTAGGAATTCTCGAATGTGGCCCTCGTTGAACAAACGAGCCACTTCTTCCCTTAGCTGTCTACAATCTTCTATTCGATGACCATGTGTGCCATGATACTTGCACATCAAGTTCGGGTTTCTTTGAGAAGGATCGGTCTGTATAGTCCTAGGCCACTTGGTGTCTTTGATTCTTCCAATAGCTGAGACAATCCCCGATACATCTATACTGATGTTGTACTCTAATAATTGAGGAGCCTCTGTGGGGTCGGTATGTTTATCGAACCTGCTCTTACTCATGATTCCCCAAGAACTTTGACCTCGATCGTTTCTCCGATCGCTCCGAGGAGTGTTACGGCTCAGGCCTCTGTTTCTTCTATTGGCATATGGCTGATACCATTCTTTGTTGAATCTCAATTCCCGGTCTGTGTACCTCAGGGGATTAGCTACGAATCTGTTAGGATGAACTGAACCCGAGAGGGCTCCCAACTGGTCATCCTCGACCCTGATTTTTGACTGGTAATGATTGTGCACATCCGACCATGTGACAGCTGGATATTCGATCAAGTTCTGCTTTAATTGTCGAGATGCAATCGATCTCCTTTCATTCAAACCTTGCATGAAAGCTTGTACTGCCCAGTCATCCGAGACCGGTGGTAACTCCATTCGCTCCATCTGGAACATAGATACATTCCCTTAACATCTCATCGTTCCTTTGTTTTATCTTGAAGGTGTCCGATTTTCTCGTGGCCACCTTTATGGCCCCGACATGTGCTTTTACGAAGGCATCTGCTAACATAGCAAATGAATCAATAGAGTTAGGAGCTAAGTTGTGATACCAAATTATAGCTCCTTTTGATAGTGTTTCCCCAAACTTTTTCAACAACACTGACTCGATTTCATCATCATTCAAGTCATTTCTTTTGATCCCACAAGTGTATGAAGTAATATGCTCGTTACGGTCGGTTGTCCTGTTATATTTGCGTATATCGGGTATGCGAAACTTCTTGGGAATGGGCATTGGATCCGCACTCGGCGGGAATGATTTTTGTATGAACTTTTTGGCATTTAAACCTTTCAAGACCGGAGGTGCCCCCGATATTTGATCAACACGGGAGTTGTAAGTCTTCACCTTTTTGTTATTTTCTTCAATCTTATTTTCTCCATACTCGATCCTCTTGGCGAGCTCTTTGAGCATCCTCATAATGGTGGATTTAGTCCCGGAGTTATTTCCGTTTGACCTCTCTGGTGCTGGTTTAGCATGTCGAGTATTTTCGTGTTCAGTGACGCTCGGTGTCCTATTCTGACTTTGAAGTTGAGAGATGACGATTTGTTGAGCTTGCAGCATTTCAAATATTACTTGGAGGCTGATTCCCCAATCTCCCATTCCTCGTGCTCCTTGGCCACCAAAACGGGCTTCCCTGCATTCATTCCCTACGGGGTCTGTGCCTGAATCCGCGTTTAGAGCATTATGTGAATTGATATCAACTGGCTCCATATTTGGCACTTCCTCAGGGTTTATTGGTGGTACACCGACCCCTATATTGTTATTTTATCCAAGACCTTCGTTGTCATGAATAGGTACGTTTTGTGTGCTAGACATGTTTCAGCCTGAGAATAAAAAAATCTTGATAAGGAAAAGTGTAAAAACAACGTGTGTAATGAGAATTAGTAAAGAAATAATCACTATTATTTTTATCCTCACGGTGGACGTCAAACTGTTTACTTCGAAAATACAAGTAACAATTAAATTTGATTTGTGGTTTTAAAGTATGTGATTTAGTTCAATACCAATTAATAATCAAGAAATATGAAGCAAAGATAAAAAATACAAGTGAATCAAACCAAAGTAGCTCAGCAGCAATGACCTTGAGGTGGGATTAGAACAATAAGAACAATTAAGTAAGAAAAGTAAAGTAAGAGCAGTAAAGCTAAGGACAATTCTGATGAATAGTAACAAAAAAGTAGAGAGTATATTCTTTGCTCAATAATTAGATGATGTTACAAATGATTGGGGTCCCCTTTATATAATAGGGGAACCCTAAATAAGGTATATTTTTATTTACAGTAAGGAATATTCTAGGTACAACTGTCTAACCGCCTAGTACGGAATATTACAATTCTATTCCAGAATTTGCGCCATGATCTTAAGGACGTGGCAGGAATCTAGCTCATTCTGTTACAAATCCATAACGGTACTATTTTGGGGTCGAACATACATGGCCTTGGTGTTTCTCGTACTCCTATCTCTGGGCTTTACACTCTACCTTCGAGCTCGAGTCTAGTCCATCGGGCTCGAACTCGATCTTGCCCGGACTTGGGCTTAGGATGGACCCTCAAGCCTATAAATTGGAGGTATATGATTTTGACCGTATACAGACTTATAACTAACCATGTTACAAAATTTAGAGGGAAGTGCACAATTAGCCACTAATTAGAGATGTCTTTTAGCCATTGTTTAAAATATATTTACTCTTTAGCCAGTGCTTAATAAATTTTTAACTGCCCGGACAAAAATACCCATGTGCTAGACATGAGTGTTTTGTAAATATTAAGGACAAGGTGTCCTTAACTTCATGAATGTTGTGTAAATATTGAGGACAAAGTGTCATATATTTGCACCTTCCATTGTTAAACTTTTGAACATAATGTCCTTAACTTCATATGTGCAATGTAAATATTAAGAACATAATGTCTTTAACTTGTATTTGTACCCTTCGTTGTTAAACTTTAGGGCATCATATCCTTAACTTCATATGTGTAGTGTAAATATTAAGGATTTACACAGCACGCATGAAGAAAGGGTGAAAATATCTTTTCCTATTAATTTTAATAGAGTAATAACTATTTTGCTCAACATTAAAAATACTGAATAAAAACTAAATACCACAATAAAAAAATTGCTATCCCACGCCATTTCTGCCAAAATTTACCTTGGTGATGGAGTAATTAAGTTTCCACTTTCTTTTCTCTTTTCCAAATTTTCCCCTCATATGAATTCGCTTTAGCATCTTCCCGCCAACCACCTCCCCTCCCCCCGGCCACCCACCACACACACATAACTCACTCACGATGCTCCTATGCTTCATCTCTTTGATCATCCCAACTGCCCACCGCCTCTCAATTGTTATTAAGAATCGAAGAATATCATATTTTCAGATTCACAATTAAATACTAAATTCTTTGATCGAACCGCTTGAATTTCCACCGGAAATAATAATGGCAGAGAGTTCGAAATTCCAAACACAGATAGAAATCAAGCAACAAATGGCGGCGGCGAGATTCTCGACTGAGCTGACGGCGGAGGAACTACTGAAAGAAGAGAGAGTTCCATTCCCCTTCTTTAAGCCGTTGTCTCAGAAGGGAGCCAACACGTGGATCATTTCTCTCTTTGTGATCCTTCACTTGGGCGCTTTCATTGCTACGATGATCGTTAATGACTGCTGGGAGAATTCACATGGCGATTGTGCCCTTAAACCTCTTCGTCGTTTCTCTTTTCAGCCCCTCTCCGAGAATCCACTGCTCGGCCCATCAGCTTCTGCGTCAGTTCCCTTTTTCTTTTTCATAATCGTTTTTATTTCTCCTATTTTATTGAATATTGTTAAATTCCTATTCGCTTAATTAGTCAGTTTTTTAGGATTTACTGTTTTCTTAGGCATATCATGGATTTAAGCCTGTGAATTTGAAAATTAGACTTCTTAATGGAATTTGAGAAGGTTTTTTTTTTTTTTATTTATTTTTTATATATATATAGGAGAAGAGTTGCTATCAGATTTGATTTTGGTATACTTGTACATCTACATTGTTGCGGTTATGATGTTTATTGAGATCTATATCTTAACTCAAAATTTTGAAAAAGAAATGTGCTTATGATGAGCTGTTATTTTGACGGGCAGTGGCGGAGGTTCAAAAAAAATTTTTGGTAGCTAGTGGGAATTGAACATATGATCTTATGAAGGTTTTGAACCCCCTGACCACTAAACTACACTTTTGGGTTGTGTTAAGGGGGTTCAAAACTTAATATATAGAGGTAAAAAACATTTTTTGCCTTATATATACAGTGTAATTTTTCGGCGAAGGGGACCTCCTTCCGCCGCCCTAAATCCGCCCCTGTTGACGGGTTTTATTGCAAGACAGTATGTATTCTGTTAAAGAGATTGCTAAATCTCTGTAGTAGCGTTAAGAATGCAGCTCGTGATGTGTACTTAGGCGCACGTCACGAGTTCAAACTTTGTGGCACACAAAAACCTGGTATTTAAGTAGAAAAGGGTAGAAGGGCGGGCAGATTATCCATTGAGTTTAGAACTGTGCGCTAGCTGCCCTCGGGACCTGTTGGTTATCCAAAAAAAAAATGTTAAGAGATTGCCAAATCTTAAATTCTTAGACAGAGTGGTTAGCTAGTACTTCTGACTGGGTAAAGTAGCTTTATGTGGATTGATCCTTGTCTCCTTCTGAAAAGTTAGTTTATAGCAGAAATTGGTGCTATACTCCTGAGAAAATTGTAGTTGGGGATGTCAATCTTATATGTTCTTATACATTCAACTGATATCAGCATTCTCAAGAACGGATATACCATTTAATTGCACGAAGTACATGAACACTTGCCATATCTACAGATATAATGTAATGAACGGTTTCTAAAATATTTCTTGGTTCTTCATGGAACCTCTAGCTTCTGCTTGTTGCAGTTTTTCAGGCTTTATAATCAATTAATCATGTTACAAGTTCAATAATATATGGATCTCTAAACTCTCAAAAAAAATTGAATGTTTCCTGATTTTATACCTGCCCTGAAACTACTTTATTCTTGATGTTATTAACTAAGGCATCTTATTCTCTATGTCAATGTTAACATGTCATTGTTTCAACTGTGCATTATAGAAGGCCCTCTCTCTTGCACCTGTTATTATGTTGAGGAAGTTTTGCTGTAAGTAATACGTATACAATCTTTTTCTAATGTAGGTTGGATGAAATTGGAGCGCTTAGGAAGACTTTGTTGACTAATAATCATCAACTCTGGCGTATCTTCTCAAGCCCATGGTTGCATGCAGGGCTTTTCCATCTGATCATCAACTTGTCATCTGTAATCTTCGTGGGGATTCACTTGGAGCAAGAATTTGGACCACGTAAGAATTTCTTTAATGTGTATCCATTCAGCAAGAAAGTAGTTTTATTGGATCTTTTATTGGATGCTCCGATTTCTGCAGTAAGAATTGGAGTTATATACATACTCTCAGCGATTACTGGTAGTCTAGTTGCTGCACTTTTCATTCAGGATCGTCCATCAGTTTCTTCCTCTGGTGCATTGGTTGGATTGCTTGGTACACTGCTCTCTAGCGTCATCAGGAATTGGAAACTTTATACCAATAAGGTCCTGAAATCTTTTAGCTATTGTTCCTCTCATTCTCAGCTGTCATGTGAAATAGAATGTCATTTCCCCACTTCTGATTGCAGTTTGCAGGGCTAGTGGCTACTATGACAATCCTGATGACAACTCTTGTCCTTGGACTGATACCTTACATCAATAATTTTGCTAATATTGGAGGATTCATGTCAGGATTCCTTCTAGGGTTTGTGCTCTTGTTCAGACCTCAACAAGAGAAACTAGCTTGTAATAAGGGAGGTATATTTGAGTTTGATGCCAAGCACATTGTCAAGCGTAGGAAAACTTTGGACAAGCCTGTTCAGAGGGGTGTTGTCCTTGTTATCTTTGCTCTTCTGTGAGTTTCTATCTCTGTAATGTTGCTTGTATGGTTTTACTCTTGCATCCATTTTCACAGTAAACTAGTTCCTAGGCTAGTTATAATTGTCTAAGATAATTGGCTTTGACTTGCTGTCACTCCAAATACAGGCTTGCTGGAATTATAATAGCAGTTCTGCATAGAGTTGATGCAAACAAGTACTGTAGCTGGTGTCACTACCTTGATTGCGTTCCATCCAAATGGTGGAGCTGCACTGACAAGGCATTTCATTGTGAGGTATCCTGTTATTGCTTGATCCTATTATGACAAGGGAATTTCGGTGTAAGATATTAGTAGTCGTAGTTAGGTTGTTTATTAACTAAGAAAGATTCTTGGTTCTTCACTTTGAAAGACTGCTCCCTCCATACCCACTACCAATAGCATGATTATTGGTCTAAACATTGGTGTGATGCTTTGAAGAGGGTTGTAAGCCTGCTATTTTGCTAGAAGAAAGTGAGTTTTGAGCAACTATAGGACAACCAATTATTATCTTACATTTCAGTCAGTGGCCCTTACTTAATACATCTTGTTGTTGGCCTCTTTTCTTTACTCTTCGTAATCGTTATTTTTTGACCGGCAAACAGGAAACTCGTCTTTCCTAGTAGTCATAATCCTCAAATTTGGATACACTTGGTCTTCGTTTGCAATTTAAAAGAAGACATTTACCTGTGGTGACTAATTCTTGCTTTGCATACTGCAGAAGATGGTCAACTCGGAACATCTGACCTTGAGTTGTCCAAATACTGGTAGATTCAGAGTTTTTCCCTTCACTGACATTTCAGAGGCAAGGTTTCAGGATGTATGCAATTTGATATGTTCCTAGCAGGTAATGGTTGATTTGTTTGCCTACATAGCAGATCAGCATCTGGTATATACTGTGCTTCAGAGTCCTTAATCAAGTTCTCGTACATAACATTCGCATCAAACATGTTGCTGTGATGGTTTTAGCTGTTGAAATGTGGGTATAACCTTGTTCCTCTGGCTTTTAAAGCTACGTCTGTGTCTTTCCTTTTATGATTTGCATGGATCCAATCATCCAAATTTACAGTTTCAACTAGGTAAACGTTCTCTGTTCTGTTCCTTTGACAGATTTAAGTCTAAGTTCACGTCAAGCAATCATGGTGCCGATAATAAGTAGTCAATCTTCCTTTGACATGTGTACTGGGAAACCTGAGAATGTTCATTTTGTTACAACGTCTATGCTACAATACAAGTCCTTAGATCTTAATGATCTTTAATATAAGGGACTCTTAAGTCTCCAAAAAGGATTTAATTAGAAAAAGTTGACACGACCTAATCCAAATTCTAAATAGCTTCTTTCGCATTTCTCCTTCCTCTTTTCCTTCGTTCCTCTTGACTCTTCCTTCCACTTAAAAGGGTTTGTCTTGAAAGGGCAGTAAGGAAGAGAATACAACAACTACTACGCATCAATTGCAGACAAGTTAGTATAATGGTATGTATCTTCACTTCTCCATTTAAGCTCAGATCATGTTAGCAACATATCAAATAAACTAATAATCGGAAAAGGGTTAAAAATGCCCCTAAACTATTGGAGAACCCTTCATCCATCTATTGGGCTAAAAATACCCCTTCATCTACCTTTTTGATTCGCTAATGCTCTTTGACCGTTAGGTCAATGGTGAATTAAAAATAATAATCATTTAGATCCACGTGGCAACTTCTTATTGGTCGAATTAAAACATCTAAGCTATTAGAAAGACCCACCTATATCTACCCGTTTTTCGAACTAACCCGCCCCAAACACTAACCCGACCCGAATAAAAAGTTCACCTATAAAAAAAATATTATTACTTTAGCTAAAATTCTTAATATGTTATCAACACGATGTCTAACCAATTGAGTTACATATGTCTATAAATTTTTACTGTATCAGTCAAGGTTTGTTCAAGCCTTTCACAAAGTCAATGCTAACACCGAACAACTCAACTTTTATGTCCACTCGACAGCGTTCTGGTTTGTTTTCAAACTCTTGCTACTCATATGTTATTATGTTTATGGAAAAAAAAAAAAGAATGATTTATTGAAGTTTCTGGGGGTGGATTACAACATAATACCACGAAAAAAAAAGTGCATGAAGCATTTGAACCATATTTTCCCATAAAAAAATATACTATAGCATATTCATGTTGTAGGAATAACTTTCTTTTTCTGCTTTGTTCTTTTCCTGATTTTTGTGGTCAAATATGTGACGTGTTGGATTAAGAATAAGTTAGAGATAATTTAAGTCTTTACTAATGGAAGAAACAAGGGGAGGAACTCTACAGCTACTGGTAAAGAATTGGTTCTTGCTGGGCCAGGAAACTTAGTTCAGGTCCCAAACTAGTATATATCATTGGAGGTGAAGATGATCAAGAGGTTAGAGTGACAGAGGGCACAACAATGACAAAATCGAATGTGGAAGGAGATAAAAATTTCAAGCTTCAATGTTACAGATGTTGCTACCAAGGAGAATATTGATAAGGCCAGTCTGAATGGTAATGACATTAACCACACAAAGATTTATACAGTAAACGACAATGGCGCCAAAGATGTTCCTGAAATTTCCAGACCGAGTAAAGCTTCTTTTGGCAAGCAAGTTAGAAACAAGGGTTCTACTGAAGATTGTGATTACTAGTCACGCATATCAAAAGATTCCACCATAAACCTTTAATTATGGAGCTCAAAGTAATAATATCTTTTTTTTCAGTTGAACTTTTTATTCGGGTCGGGTTGGTGTTTGAAGCGGGTTAGTCTGAAAAATGGGTAGATATGGTTGGGTCTTTCTAATATGTGTTACATGCTTTAATTTCGACCAATAAGAAAGTGGAATTTAAATGATTATTATTTTTAATTCGTCATTGACCTAACGGTCAAAGGGCATAAGTGAACCAAAAAGATAGATAGATGGGTATTTTTAGCTCAATAGATGGATGAAGGTTATTTTTAAACTTTTTCCAATAGTTTAGGGGCATTTTTAATCCTTTTCCGTAATAATAAACTACTAATAATAATAATAATATTAAAGTAATTGAACAAGACTAAAATCAATTTCCAACGGAGTAATAGATATACGGAGTTCTCCCTCATTTCAAAGAATAAAATAGCGTAATGAACCAGCTAGAATTATTTTCTTGTCTACTAAAATAAATATGTGTTGATTTTCCAATAAAAGCGCCCATGGCCTAATGGATAAGGCGCTTGACTTCTAATCAAGCGATTGTGGGTTCGAGTCCCACTGGGCGTGTTTGTTTTTTCTAGATTTTTCTTTTTGAATTTAGTAATATTTGCTATGTTACTCTTTTCTCTCGGTGAACGATAAAGCTCATGGGTGAAAACACGAAGATAAAGCTCTTGGGGATTACATAAATTATATCATTTATACTTGAATTGCCAAGAAGCTAATCTTAAGTTAAATTACCGATTTTATGGTTTAAACTTTATTGGTCGTGTGTCGTCCAAATAATACATGTCACTGCTTACAAATTTGTTTTTTTTTAAATAGGTAATTTTCAATGGAGTATTAGGGTGGTAGGTTAGGAGGTAGTTGAGTCTTGTCTTATAATATCTTTGTGAGACTAGTTTGGTAGGGACACTATTTTGCTTTTGCCTTACTTTGCTTGCCTTGCTTTGTATCATTCTTCTTGATTTCTGTTTCTATTTGTCATATTTGTTTCATATTATCCTGGTGGTGTTACTAATATTGTCTTCTTTTGTCTTCTGTGTTCTTGAGCCGAGGGTCTTTCGGAAACAGCCTCTCTACTCCTTCGGGGTAGGGATGAAATCTGCGTACACACTATCCTCCCCAGACCCCACTAGTGGGATTTCACTGGGTCGTCGTTGTTGTTGTTGTTGTAATTATGAAGTAAATATTAAAACACACTAAGTTAGCATTATCATTTGTAGAACCTCTTCCGAATGATGCAACAAAAATACTTTTGACCAACTTATCTTTTGTATATTCTATCAGTTGCTGCAATCATCTACTATCAGTTGTAGGATGAATGATTTTTTATTTTTTCACTTAATAGTTTATAACAGGTACAGTGAAACCAATTAAATAAATTGTAAATTAACTATTGATGTTTCCTATAATGAGAGCATGGAAAAAGCATAATAATATTATCTAGTTTGATCATGGCGCTGAGCGGTAACTCCTCATATATTATTCTTGGATGATCATGTGTTTGATCTCAACTCTCACGAAGAGTAGAAATATCTTGGTTTATTTGAAAAACTTCTCTTGATTTCTCTTTTTTGTTTCATTAATTCGAGAGCTAAAGTAATGTATCTCTCAAATGGAGGATGATATAAATCTCCTTGGGATATATTTAAAACCCAAAAAGCATTGTGTAGTACTTGACCTTAAGGAAAAACTTCTCTTAGAATTGTTAAGTGGGCGTTGTGGACATAAGAATAGTAAAATTTCAAAAATAAAATAAAATATTTGAAGTGAAAATGATATTTGAAAATAGAGTTATGTTTGGACATGAATATAATTTTGGATTGTTTTTGAAGTTTTGTGACTGATTTGAGTGAAAATTTTGAAAAACAGCTTTTTAGAGTTTTTTAAATTTTTGAAAAATTCCAAAATGTATCTTCAAGTGAAAATTGAAAATTTTATGACCAAACGCCGATTTCGAAAAAAGTAAAAAAAAATTAAAAAAAAAAGTAAAAAATTTCTTATGTCCAAACGGGTAAGATCCCTGAAATTTGAGATTCCTTAAAGGGATGTCCGACCTCAAATTACTACTCCCTCCGTTTCATATTAAATGAGGTACTTTCCTTTTTAGTCTGTTCCAAAACAAATTACACATTTCTAAATTTGGAAATAATTCAACTTTAAGCTCTTTCATTTTATCCATTTACCCTTAATGAGAAGCTTTTAAAGCCACACAAATGTCATGGCCCCACAATCTTTTTACCCCTTAAACTTTTAAGACTACAAGTTTCAAAAGTCTTTTTTTTTCTTAAACTCCGTGCCGAATCAAACTACCTCATATAATATGAAACGGATGGAGTATTATATAGAAAGGAGAGTTGGGTAGGACGAACAGGGTAGGACAAATATAGGTACAATAGTTGTTTTAATTCAGAAGCGGATCTAGGATTTTCGGAGGATGGGTTCACCATTACTTTTTTAAAAAAAAAATAAACAAAAGAGTTGGTTGGGGATTTGATCCCCTGGCCCTTAAGGCTATAGGAAATAAGAGACCAAAACTAATGAACCACTTCAACTCTTTTGGCCATGGGTTCCATCAAATATATATACCTATTTTTGCCAAATTATGTATATCGTTAATACTTTAACCCGATGACCACGGGTTCACGTGAACCATATTTTATATGCCTCTGTTTTAATTGTTTCTCATGGGCAGTTTTGTATTTACACTCGAAATTCAGCCCTTTTAATTTTCTCATTTTCCTGACACATTTTTGGTCTTTATATCTTTGTGGGACACCTGTCTTATACTTCCCCTACCATTAACCATGTTCCTTCCATTTCTCGATCATCTGCCGGTAAAATTCATCCTCCATCAATGTTTTACGGCTATTCTAGAAATTTTTGTGCCTTTGACTCTTCAGTTAATTAGTCACATGTGAAGATAACGGCGAAGATAACATGTAAGAGAGAAAGTAATTCTCCATCTTGAACAACTATTTTTCTGTCTTACTCATCTTGTGCATTTTATTTTTCTTGCTCCTGCTTTTGGCTTACATTCTGAACTCATTTCAAAATTACTATTCCCATTAGTATGTGATAGTTGAATACTTCTTAGTTTTCCTCGGGTTTTCTTAATGGGCATGCCAGGTTAGTTCTATTTTTAGAGAATGATAATTTTACAATTTTCATAATGCCTCTGAAATTCTCTTAACATTTTCCTTAAATATTCTCAGTACAACATGTATAATTATGAATATTTAACTTCAATATATCTGGTATTTCCGTTTTCTTCATGCTTTCTTAGTATATTTTGTACATGCATGTGGTTAGTCCAAACTCTTCTATGGAAGCACGCAGGCAGGAATGAAACTTTAATGAAAAGGGATTGATATGGCAAAGGTATTTGACTATATGCGTAAAAGTACTTTTCTCCATTCCTTTTTCTAGGTATTCTATAATTTAATCTATCATCCAACAGCCAAAGATGCATCACTTACTTCCACTAGACAAAATTATTAACAATATATTGTGCAACATATACCATTTTGTCTATTGCAATATTGCTACTGTTGAATATATTTAAATAAACATTATTCAAACTGGCGTGAAGTTCTTTATCACGGCTATCACTTTGCTGCTTTGCAAGTATTCATGGTTGAATTCATTAGTCGTTGCACCTTTGTTCTATTTAAAACCCCCCTTAAAGGGCTTCATTATAGCTATATTGGCTCGAACGGAAGGGAAACGACATTACTTGATGATATTCCTTTCATATTAATATGTCAAAATAATATTGTGCTTGAACAAAATCCATTTATATTCCTCTGGAATTTTGGTGAGTACAAGTTTTTAGCTATTTTGAAGTTTAAAATGGAAAGTTGGCTTAATGTTGAAAAAACAATTACAAATGAATTATAATTCTATCTTTGCATCTTGAAAAAAAGTTAATTTACATTATCTTCACCTGCACATCTGTGGTCCAACATCCCTTTTGCATGGATCCCATACAACAAGCTCATTAATCATAGCTAAAAATGAGCTTTGACATCATATCATTTCTGGAGATGACACTAATTAAGCAATTACTCAGGTACATTATTTTTTAGAGTGATAAAATTTTTCAACAATACTCAAGGGGCCATAAAAGATAATAGATATTGCATTGACAATACTATATTAGTTTGAAAAGAAGACCTTATCTTAGAGGTAATTAGCGTCCTAAAAAAGATAGGCGTCTCAGATATGGCAAAATAGATTCTCCATCAAAAATGATTTGTAGTTTAAGGAACTTATGACCATGCATATCTATTAAATTTCTTATGCATATTTCTGTCTTGTCTATTGTTTATG